CTGTCCACCCGCCAACACCATCTGCAATGTAGAGAGAACCACTGGATTTACACTAACCTCCCGGACCCTGAACACTACCCTCCCTAGATCAAACCAAGTCTCTACCTCCCAGTCACGATCAGCCTGCCAGTACTGCCTCTGCTTACACTGCACCTTCACAATGAAACTTCGGTAAAACAAATTGTCTGTCTGTCCATGAAGAGGCAATATCATTTCCCATATGCAACTTGTGTGGCGAGGGGACAATTACTTAACATCCTCCAGCCAAGCAACCAGCGAAATTCATGCATGTGAATTTCAGCTTTGGCCACCCAAAGCCAATAAATTAGGCTTTCAAAGACTGATCATAAAACAGAAAGCATGTGGTAAACTACACAATGCACTCTGCTACCAAATCATGCTTGAAACAATTTTCTGACAATATATGATTTCAATAAATTTCAACAAAATGTTCTCTATTTAATATCATATATTTTTTTTAGAAACAAGGAATATGAGAGCAAAATTTGAAACCGCTGTTGCTGCTACCCTGTCTCTGTGTTGAGTTTCAGAGTAGCTGTGATGAAAGCTAACTGTTGCTTGTTGCATTTTGCATGCGGAGCTCTTAACAGGGACCACAACAGGAGATGTTGTTTTAATTTACAAGTCATTGAACAAACTCACATAAATCCCAGTCCCATTAGTACCAAACTCTGCTGTTAACATACATCGGTTATAGTTAAAGAGGGTTTTTACACTGCCTATTCCAGGGTGCTGCCGGTATATGGCCATGTGCTGACATCCGACCTAAAGCAATTTTTTTTGCATGATAATCAAAAAAGATCAGTCTTCACCAATGGCAAAATGCACAAGCAACACATTAACATTGTTAAAATGTTTATTAAACCCTTTATTAAGTAAGGATTATGTAATAACTGTGTCACAATGAAAATCTCTTGAGACACAGTCTCATTAACAAGAGAGGCTTCTTTACCACAGGCAGACTAGTTTTTTTTGAAAGCCTAACTATATTAATAACTATATTTGTTTATTTATATATATTTGACAATAAATGCACTAGATCTATTAAAAAATAGCTTTTTTGCTATCGGTGTTACAGTTTGAACCAGAGGACCCTAAGACAGCCAGACAACAGATAGCGTTTAAGAGTTAATTTGAGGCGGGATGCAGTAGTTTGGGGAAGAATCACCAGCATAGGAGAAGGGAAGCTCTGGGAGTGGAGACGAATTGTTAGTGATCAGGCAGAGATAATGGGACAGTTGAACGGAGATAATAGATCTCACTAACCTTCTCACAATCAGGGAAAAAATCAG